TATATATACTGTATATATGCCACAGACATTTTCGTACCAGGATACATACAGTATATTTGCTATGTTCTGCTGGAGTGTGACATAATTTGTGTTATTTGGAGCTGTGATGGATTGTGTACAAACTAATACAGGATCAGAATAATATATTTATACTTCTCAACTTCCAACCACAATTAAATTCACTCTATCCAGCAGGATAATATTTTTTAACGACAAGCTGTAATGAAATAGGAGTAACGACTTTCTACTTCTTACTTTTTAAAAAATGTAATAAGTAAAAAGTACAGGTAATTGTGTAAAAATGTAAGAAGTAGAAGAAAAAAGTAGGTTGAAAAATAATTACTCAAGTAAAGTACAGATACCCAAAAAATTCTACTTGAGTACAGTAAAGAAGTATTTGTACTTAGTTACTTTACAACTCTGGGAGCCACTTGTGACGTGGCTCCTCATGACTTTGACCCAAAACAAGACAAACCTGAGGAATGTTTCAATTAAAATGACAACAGGGACCAGAGGTTTTAGCAGTTTGCTAATCAAGGTTTATGCTAGCAGTGCTTGAAGGTTCTGCAGCTCCGTCATGCAAAAAACACAACAGGTTAGACCTCCTTAGTGGGTAACAGATGTATCAAAGTTTATAAAAAAGATTCATGTAAAAAAGTCCTTGGACCTGATTTGATCCACGTCTGCAGAAAGATCTTGGTCTCCCCGAGGTTTGAGTCCGTGTTTTCGCTCTTTTTCAGGACGACAGCACAGGAGAGATGATCTTTGACGAGGTCTTCCGCGCCCTGTCCAGGTGTCTGACTGGTCTGGCTCAGCCGTTCAGGGTCCCCGGAACAGATCAGCTCTTCACACCCAAGATCTTCATCACTATCTTGGTGTACTCGTCGATCGTTGGCCTGACGTCACATCAGGTCGAGTGAATCACTGGAGCAGTGAACAGAGACAAATGTAAAATTTAGGGTCTAAACTTTAGGGCAGTAAGTTAAAAATCATTCTTTTGTCCTGAATAAACCACAGTGTGTGTTCATGAGTTACCACAGCTGGAGTGCTTTGGGGTCCTTGGACTTGATATTGTACTTTACATATTCAGGTCATCTACCTACAGAGCAGAAGTCCAGCTGTTCTAATGGTTTTTTTAGACATTCAGTTGTTCGTTTGAAGTCTGTTCCTGTGTACTGATCCAGTCTGTTTGTAGCTTTCCAAGTGTTTAATGTTGGATTTTCTGGACAGGTTCTGGTCCAAGGATGTCAGCTTGACAGAACGGACCTTAATGAGTTCCTGCATCAGATCTACTACCAGCTCCGAGCTCTGGAGAGCAGCACGGCAGAAGTCCTGCACCAGCAGCAGGAGCAGGTCAGCTTCAGGCTTCACTGCGTCGTATGTTTTATTAATCCCACAGCTGTTTTCAACAAATGTGACACGGCTGCTCTGTTACTGCACAGCGCTGAACAAGTGAAAAACCACTAATGTTTTGTTTGTTTTCTGTGTGTGCTTGTGTTCATGCATCTGTTAGCAAAATAACTCAGGAACCACCAGCTTATAAAGCCGTTTACTTGTTTTGTAGTCTGTGGACGTAGCTCAGAGTTTAAATCACCATAACAAGGACCTGGAAGGCCAGCCGCTCAGGAAGCAGGGCATGTCTGTGGTGTCACCTGACATGGGTCTGGTCAGCATGGTCCGCCAAGGGATTCTGGCCCTTCAGCTGCTGCCGCCCAACTCCAGTGCAGGTGGGTTCGTAAGAAATGACCAGAACTAAGGTTAGAATCTCATTGGCCTGCAGCTGTTGGAGACTAGAGAATCAGTGTTTTTTTTAATAAAGGCTGTTTTTTTCATGTAACTGCTTGTAAAACTGTCTTCTAAACTGAACACATTATTTTGTTGCCAACATGCATTGTTCCCACCTCAGCAGTCATCCTCAGGTTTATGATTTAATCGGCTGGAGTACTTGAGCATTAACAAAAGAAAGATTTGGACCAGCTTATAATCATTTTTATTTGTCATTGACATGGTTTTTAGGGCTGCAAGTGTTTTCTGTGAGAAATGAGTTACAAAATATGGCTCTTAAACTGTTATGATTAGGCCTGTCATGATAACAAATTGTGCTGGATGATAAATTGTCTCAGAAATTATTGTGATAAACGATAATATTGTTTGGAGACCATTTTAAATTATTATAATGATACTCCATGCTGCTTATGAAGCTTACAGAAGTTTATGAAATTTACTGACTTAAAAAAGGTTATGGATTGGCCGGGAGCTGAGTTTGTGAAAACAACAAACAACAGCTGCTAAAGCTGTAACACCGCTAAACCCCGCTATCTGAGCAGGTGAAATTCACGATTTATGTCTTCCTCTGGCTTCCTAAAATAATTGTGGTCACCCTCGCTCCACTTAGAAAATTTATCGACGTTCATGACATTTACGGATGTTAACAAAATTTACAAAGTTTACGAAATTTACATAAGTGTAGGGGACTAGCTTAGGATGTCCGAGGCCTGCTTAGAGGCAGAAAATCTTGTTTCTTCACTCGAGGTGACCCCTACATAAGTGTGCGAAGTTTACAGAAGTTTTTGAAATTTTCAAAAGTTTACAAAATTTATGGAAGTTTACAAAATTTACAGACGTGTACGAAATTTACGGAAGTTTATGGAAAGTTTATGAAATTTACAGAAGTTTACAAAATTTACAAAGTTTACGAAATTTATGGGAGTTTACGAAATTTGCAGAAGTTTATGGACAGTTTATGAAATTTACAAAATTTACATAAATTTACAAAATTTGCACAGGTTTACAATATTTATGTAGTGTAAAAAAAACTCTAGGAACCCAAGGTTTGACACGGTGCCCCGAGGGAGTCCTGAGGCGTCGCCAGCTGAAAGAAAGTGTTGGAAAATCGGAGACGCTCCTTTAGCTGAATGCCTGTTCACAGGGCTCTCATGCTACAGAGTTTAGAGATCATGCACCTGGAAAATACCTGATGTGAGAGTTTACTCCTCCCTACGCTGAGGAGTAGAAAAGACAAAGAAAACAAACAAGCATGTAAATAAAAATTAACCTCATTTTAATTTATCGTGTGATTAATTGATTTACTGCTTATCATGACAGGCCTAGTTTTGAGAGAAAATTTGTTGCAAATTTTTTCTGAACCTTTTCAAAACTCAGCAACAAAACTTCAACCCTGTCACGAGGAACCTGAAAACTTCTGCAAAGGTTTCAAGACAAAAAGGGAAACTCCTTCATGATTGTTGTTTATCATCCAGTCTGCAGAAGTCGCAGCCCAGTGGGACACTGATTTTGAGTTCTTTAGTTTCTCTCTTTTAAGTGAGACTCAGACCAGTCTGTCAGATGGAACCAGATGGTTTTTGCAGTGTTTTTAGTTGAACGTGATCCTGCAGCTGAGACTAGACCACTCAGCTCTCGCTGGTGGACTGGCCATTGGAACAGAACCTCTCACAGATCCTGTTTGTGTGTGTGTGTGTGTGTGTGTGTGTGTGTGTGTGTGTG